TTTTTTTTTTTTTTTTTTTTTTTTTTTTTTTTTTGGCTGATACTGCAATAGCAGCAGCCTATAAGGCTGCTAATCAGGCAGTACAATTTTTGAAGTCAAACAGCAATAATATAGTCTCAAATGCTGGCTTTCTTAACAATTAACTTTGCAGCTCTAACCGCGAAATTTTTCCTCAACAATTTTTGATTGCTTCTATTACTTCAGAAATGTATTCGTTGCAAGAAAAAACATTTTTTTTATCAAATCAAAAAACTTTTAAAGTAGCAGAAGAAAAAAACAAAATGTTAAAGAAAGACGAAAAAGAAAACAACAAAAATGAAGAACATTTTGATGTATTACAACTCTTTGTTTTCTTCCTTAGTTTTTTTTTTGCTCTCATCATTTCTTATTAACTTTTGTTAGACTGATTGATAGTTCAAAAAGATCTACAATTTTTGATTAAAAATTGTGTATTGTCAAGTTATTAATACAAATTGTGAAAGAAAAAAACAGAAAGAAAAAGAGCAAGAAAACGACAATAATAAAGACATTTTCTTAGCTAAGGTTTTTACTATTCAATTCATCGTCTTTATACCGTTCCCACTGTTCGCTACACCATTTATTTATACAGATTGTTTACGAACCGATCTTCAAATCCATATGTCCATATTTATAAGTTCGTTTTTAGCCAAGAAATCTCACACAACATTTTCAGCTGAAAAAGGATCGTAATTAACTTCTAATTAAAAATCACAACGAAAAAATTGTGACAAATAATCATAGATTAGTTGTTCAGCCACTTAATTTTGCAAAGCAGCAGTTAATGTTTTTTGCAGCTACAGTAGGTTTTACGTAACAGTGGTTTAGATCAATCTTACGTAAAGCTCTTACTTTTGCAAATTTTATTATTTTTTACTACTAAGTTTATAATGACAATCTTCAGGAGAACAGGTCAGTAACATGACCAAAAATACGTATACTTTAACTAAACAAAACAAACAGAAAGCAATATGTTGCTGAGAATGAAACATTTTGGGAAAAACTAAGAAATTATGCATTTTTGGCAACTCAAATAAGCAGCTTTTTTCTTGTTTATACTTAATGTTCACCAACATAAAGTATAAACAAGGAAAAAGTCTGTGTCTGTGTCTACGCCGGTGGTGTTTGAACAGCTAAACACCTAAGTAGCTTTTTTGAAATTTTTGGCAGATAAAAAAAAAACTGTTGCTTACTATTTGTAACAAAATATTAATTGGTGATGCATCATCGAGTTTCAGATGCTGACAAATTGTCATAGAGAAAAAAAACATATATCTTTTAGGATATATATATGAAACGATAAAAGAAAAAAAAAGAGAGACAGAAAAAGTGGAATTTTTTCATTGAACCTTTCTGTCATCCAAACTTCAAATTTTGCGCAACAATATCTGAGTTGCATTTGAATAATGCACATTTGTTGTAGAATTTCAGTATTAGACATTAAAGAAACTACTTTATTTAATTTTTCTACTTTTTTTTTCTACCATTTTACCACCTGCCTGTTTCAATACAATTATATGCACTGAAAATAAAAATCATTTTAGCACAAAAACTATTGCTAAAGTTCAAAAAAAAATTTTTTTTCAGTAAGTGGTGCTATTGCTGCAAAAATAGGAGGTATTTGTGCAGTATCGTTGTGAAGGGTCAATTAAAAGACTTGCGATGAAAGATCAATAACTGAGTTGCATAAGGAAAATTTTCAAACATATTTAAAACAAACAAATAAACAAATATAATTGTTGAAGGTCTTTTTTTCTGTTCACACCACTGATGACTAAAAAATTTAGATGAAAAAAAATTTTTCCTTTTTTTTTCCTCTTTTTCTGGTTGTTACACTTTTTAAGCAGCCAAAAATGTTTAGGCAATTTTCCATTGAAAAACTTCCGTAAGTGAAAAGGATTGAAAGAACGATTAAATAATCCACACTACACTTTTGGTTCAATCAACTTTATTTAGTCACCCACAATGCTTCATTTAATCTTTCAAAGCACTATTTTTTCAGTAGATTATGCTCTTGTATAGCCTTTCATATTCAGCTTTCAAAAGTGAAAAAAAAGATTTTTTTCTTCTTCACTTTTTTTTCTTTCTCAACAGAATGTTCTTCTGCGAGATTACCGCTGACATTTTCATCCATGTGAAAATATTTGGCACTGATTACTTAAATTTTTTCGGCTTTTTTCTTTTGTCAATAACTTTTGTAATCTAAAATAATGTACGAAAGATATTCTATTTTGTAATTGAAAAATAACGTTTGAGTTTCGCGGTATAACTTTTGCTTTAATTAGTATATCGATAAAATTTGGTTAGTGTACTCTGTAGCTAATAAGGTGCAATTATTTAATGATAGTAGTCTCGCTTATTCTTTTACTAGACATTTTAAAATTCTTTTTAGTACACTGTATAGCAGCTTTGTTTGAGCACTTAAGTGTTTAAGAATGCTCTTATTTTACACAAGTTTTTAATGATTATTGTTGCTAGATTCTTAAGATCTACTGTTGTCGATTTATTGTTGCTGACAGTTAACCTTTGCTGTATCGATATTGATTTACCGAAAAGTCCAGCATTTCTCATCACATTATTTTAGGCCATCTGAAACACTTTAATGCTGGTGCGTCGACGCCGATGAGTTTATGGAATCTATGGACTATTTTATTCTCAGTTGTACTACGTGTATTTGCTGACGATCAGAACTTAGCGTATACAGATCGAGTGACGGCAACAGAGGCTGGTCCTCATGAAATCACGGTTTTGACCACCAAAACCGCACCAGTTGCTGGCTTACATATCAAAATTGATCTTTTTGATTTGTATGATAACAGAAATTATACAGTCTATAATTTACCTGGGATGCTACTTCAGCTAACAAGAGGTAATCACAGCTGTACTCTTCTTGTGCTTTTTTTTCTTTTTTTTTTCGAGTTTTCGACAGAAAACTCAGTTCTGTTTGGAGGTAATTCTTCTTGATGTATAACGCAGTGTAAAGTAAGTGTAGCTTAAAAAATGCTAAAATAATAATTTGAATTTTTAATGCGATGCAAACTAAGAAAATTCAAGTAGCGCATTCAAAACTTAAGAATGTTTGCATCTGTCATTAATGACAACATGTCAATCTCGATTTCTATTTACTATAAATGTCGCCTTAATAGTAAAAGAAATGATGATAAAGCTTTTTATATTCACTTTATAAACAATAAACAAATAAACGACTATAAAACTAATCACTAAAGCTTCAAATAAGATTGAATTGTTAGACAGTTGAAGATTCATAAGCGATTAATAGAAAAAGAGAAAGCTTTTGTTCTTTGTTGCTTAGGTGAGTCACTGTAACAAAACCGCTTTTAGCAGTCGCTGAAAAGCCTCTATTGAAACGTGCTCAAATTTCCTTTTTAGGTTTTAGAAACGCTTCAAAAAATTTTCCTTCAAAAATTTTTAACAAAGTTTTTTCAAAACATTTTTTTCCGTTAAGGACTTTTTTTTGGGTTGGTCAACTTATTTGTTTTTCGGTCACACTTGCAGGTTTTCTTTTACGCAGACAGCAAATGTGATTTTTATAAAGCCATAAGAGTATTTTTTTTTGGCAAGTTGGAGGAAGAAAGAAAGAGGAGGTAACACCAAATTAATCAAATCGGTAGTCGTTTATTTTTATGCTGTAGTTTTACAATAAATTTTCAATAATATTTATTACAGTAAGAAAAAATTTTGAAAATTTGATTTATTTTTATCTTTTGTGGTAAATTACACAACAAAGCTGTAGGCGCTGTAAAAGAAGAGTAGTGTTTTTAAAAAAAACAAAAATACAAAGAAAAATGAAGATTATTTGTCTGTCATCTAAGTTCGGAAACAACAAATTTTTTTCATTAATGGTTTTCTTGACATATTAAATAGTTAATACAAAAGAAAAAATGAAGGAAAGTTCTATTAATATGTTAAATTCTGCCTGTCGGTATTGTTTCGCAGAATTCTGTGAAAACGGCGTTACCAGTTTTGTATTATTGGTTAGTCTGTTGGTAGCCAAATTAAGCTAATTTACATTAAGTAAATTTATTCTTAATACCTTTTGTTTCCTTTCTCTTTTTTTTAAATTATAAATACATAATTATATGTATTCATTTTTACAAAGAACAAAAACAACAAAATTAGACCAACAAATTTATTGGTTTCCTGGAGAACAGTTAACTTTTTTGCTGCTTCAGAAATTCTTTATTGGATATCGCCGTTTTTTTGTTATTGTTGTCGTCGATAATTTAAAATATATTTTTTTTTGGCACATTATAAACTGTTTTGCTTAGACAATCAAAAGAATAATAAATGAATATAACCAAACTTTCATTTTAAAAACATTTGAAAATTAAGGAAAATATAACAAAATTAAAAAAAACACTTGTTGAGATGCGCCTAAACTGCCTACCAAAAAATAACTGATTTTTTTTTACTCTTTTTTCTTTTCTTTTGAAATAAACCAATTTATGGCTGAGCTGCTCAGAACATACAAAATAGTCCTTAAAAAAAGAAAAAAAAAACAAACGAGAGCAATAAATTTTTATTTTCTGTTCTCAATATCTAGCAAAAATCTTACTTTAATCGTTGTTTTAAATTTTTCATCATTCATGATGCTTTCTGACTTTCATTGAATGAACCTGTCAAATGCAACCACTCTGAGCTCTAAAGACCATTTCCATGCATCTTTACTTTCTGAGGTAGAAAAAAAAAGCTAAATTTAAACGAACATTGACTAGTTCTGCAATTTCTTTTCAAGTGCATTTGGAAGAAAATACTCTATTTTATGACACTTTTTTGAAGATTTCTTTAGAAGAATAAAACTATCCTAAATTTTACTCTCGTATTTAGCACCAAAAACATATGGTTTTTATACCGCCAGCTCAGCCATGTTCGTTTTCAATAGTGCAAACCAAAATCTGGTAATACAAAACTGACAAAGATGAGCTAAATAACTAGAGAAGGTGTATATGACAATAATTTAAAGCTTAATCTCTTCTCTACTACTCTATAGTTCAAATAGTTTCTGAAAAAATGTTCTCTAAAAAAATTTTACTTGTATAGAATATTCCAGGCCGTTATACGTTTATGGCATCACCAGACCGTTGGTATGCAATTGCATTTCGTTGTGATAATGTCGTTGAAGGAACTGCTTATAGGCATAGCGAGGGACGAGTAGTCCGAACTCCACCAGAACGTCATACGATACCAAGAGTTGGGGTTAAAGTAAGTAGACCCTGCTAGTCATTATCTTCACTATTGAGATCTGTAGACAAGCAGATAAACTTTTAATCAGTCATCAAAAATTCTTCTCCATTTATCTCCAATAATTTTTCAATGACAAAGATTTATGACCAAATAATTATCAAAACAGTTTTATTTATATAAACTTTTTAACGACTTATGCAACAACAATGACAATAACGAAAATTTATCTGTTTCGCAAAATTTAACTGCTATGTTTGATCTGTCTTGTTAGTTCTTTCTAGCAAACATACTCTGAAAAGCGGTTAATTTGGTAAATTACTCTTTCACTAAATAAATTTTGTTTTTTTAGGTAACCGCTTACAAAGATGTCAATAATACTGAAAATATAATTTTACAGGCTAAATGGGTGGATAAAGACACACGGTAATTTCTTTATTTATAAGTTTTTAGTACCTCTAAACTTGTCTTCTTTCTCAGCTATCTCTGCAATTGAAAGTGGAAATTAAGTGCATCACTTGAGATCATCTTGTTAAAATAACTTTTTTTGGCAATTGTTCTTTTAAAAAAATTAGTCAATAACAATTTTATACTTTATGATTATGACTAATTGATAAAAAGTCTTTTAGTGCTAAAAAGAAGTTGGGTAGTTGAAGCATTTGTGCTGTAAAGTAAAGACTACAAAGTGGGTACGGTACGAAAGTGAAATTATTTATACTGCAAAAAAAAACGGATTTTAAAAATCGAAAAAAGTAAAGATTTTGAAGCGTTGGAAAAGTTTTGCACAAAATAGTAAACAATTGTTTTTTGGAATTTTTAACCATGTTTTCTCTTTTCAGCCTGTTAAACGACACTTCATCAATATATTTTTTCTCTTTGTTCGTGTCTATCGTTTTCATGTTTCGCCTAAAATCGGTGTTTTGATAGCAGAATTTTCTTCAAAAACTTTTTTACTTACTAGTTTGCATTTTTATAGTTTACAATTAACAGTATAAAAGAAGTAGCTAAGAGGCAAAAAAAGAAGACGATTTACAATTAAAAATTGAAAAAATGAAGGTTTTTCTCTGGCTTAACGAACTCTCTTTCTAACAAAAGCAACAGGAAGAAATAAACAAACAATTTTAAATGTATTTGAGTGCGTAAAACAAAAGTAAAAAGCATTAGGTTCTTTATGTGAAGAAATAAATAACAGTTAAATTTCTTGAAAGAAAAAATAGCTTTTTAGTTTCATCAGTGAAATTATGATTATTTGATGTTGTTGCTGTCATTGTTTTTATATTCATTGAATGGG